CATAAATGAGCTAGAAAAACTGTTTATAGAAACACAAACACACTACATAAATAAGCGAGAAGCAGTTGCTGATGCATTAGATCATCCTGGTATAGTAGTATATCCTCCTGCAGGATTGGTGCCTGTGAGAAAGTGGTACAGTGATTTTGCAAATGCTTGGACATGTCCGACAGGAGGGTGCGCGCATGTGTATGTGATAATAGGATCCTCACTGTGTGGGCGCTGAGGATACATGTGGAGTGGTAATACATCAAAGAAGTTGTTGCATACTTTTGCTAGAATTATTGTTTGCCTTGTGAACTCGTTTTCAATTGTAGCTAACCTGCTGACAGGCCATGTTGAACTGCCATTGTTTGATTTGTGCTTTCTCTTTTGCCATAAATAATCTTTCCTTTGTGACTTCAAGGGCGTAGTAGTTGTGCAATTCCGCGTCCATTGATACGTGATGTTTATAGGTGATGTTTTCGTTGTATGCAATGAATTTCAAAGTAACAGAATATGTGGATAATGTTGTGATCAAAGAAAGGGAGGTAATGCATAGAAGCAAACTGAAAAAGGCACATTTATTGTCACCATGTATGATGCATTTTAGAGATGACAGGAAGTACACATTGACACTTTTCTAACAAGACTAAACACGGTACATTTATTTCTGGCTTACATCATAGTAATTGTATCTCTCACCTTCATCATTGTAATCACAGTGTCCAAATTTTCAGTAGCCATGCCCATGCGTCCTTTTGAATGTGTTGTGGTGAAACTTGTATAGAAATTCCAATCTTTTTAGAAATATTTGAAAAGAAATTCATAAATTGTAGAATACATATATGACTGATGTGGGAAAGTTTCAGTTTGGTTGGACCATTGGTTTGAGAGATTTATGTTTTCAAACTTTTAATTGACAGGAACTTCAAAGTTTATAGAAACATTTGATTTTAAAAAAAATCGAATAATACATATTTTACTAACATGATAAAGTTTTAGATCACTTGGATAATTTGTTGAGAGATTCAAGTCAAGAACAATGCATATGTGTCAATACCACTAAATGCTCATAAATGCAAACAGAGGGAAGGAAGAAAAACGGCTGAGAAAAAAAACCTACCGTAGAGTGTGCGCCAGCACCTGCAACAACAGACAACCCTACTAAAAGTCACAAAGCTCACTTCTCTACCAGGCCCAGCAGCTGCTTAGATGCAACCAAAAAAGCAAACCGCCTACATTGGTCAACAAAAAAAATCTTGAAAAAAATCCTTTTTCTTTGCAGGAAAGAGAAAAAAAATCTCCGGTTCCCACGCGCAAAGTCACATCACAATTAACCTAATGCACGTAGTCACATCAGCCCGAAATCTACAGTCGACCACCGCATGCAACTCAGCAGCGACGAAAAAGGAAGCAACCAATTTCCTTCCGCCCGAATGCAATTTGACAAAAAAAAAATCATGCCGCACAACGCTAGCTGCATGCATACATGGAGCCTACCACCGAGCATATCCAGAATTACAAATAGCAGTTCCACAAAATTTTCAAGGAATCCAAATAATATCACAAGAAGAGGAGAAAATAGACCTGACGTTGGTGAAACCAATCATCAACGAAAATCACAGATGACCATCGCATGCTTGCACGGGTGACAAAACGAAAAGCAAATGCTCCCCACACCGCACGACAAATATGAGGTCTTTTTTTCGAGGGACAAAAATAAGATAGCTATTGGAGATGCTCTAATATTTTTTTTCTCGCGCATTGTTTCTACGTCCAACTTGGTTCAAACAGACAACTCACATGCTTCTAACACCAGGCTGTATCCCTAAAAAAACACCAGACTGTATTTGCATTTGTAAGTGAGGAAGCCAATTTGAATTTAAATCGTACAAAACAAAAAATATCCACATACGATAGAGGCAAATTTTATGGGATTTGCGATTCAATGAGTAACATGTAGCTGGTTTTCAAGCGGAAGCCACGTCTGCGCCAACTTCGTTAAGTCTCTCTTTTGCTTCTTAAGGCATGCCTTCACCTATCCTACTATAGAAGTGAATGAGCAAAGCAATTGGGAATGTGCAGCAAACAAAGAGAGCTAAATATGACTAAATAAATTAAGTAATCTGAAAGTGGGCACGTCGTCGTCGAGCGCCAGCAGCTGCTCAAGAGCCTCCACGACGTCGCACATCCGGGACTGCGCTTCAAATCTGGACACAAGTGTGACACGGCCGCGGCAGCGCGTCAATTCCGCTGCCGGACACCACTCACCCTCGGCCCACCCACCATCCCGGCCGGTGCCGAGAACAAACCACACGGGACCCAGTATTTTTTTGAAAGAAATGTCAATCATAGTTTAGTCTGGTGGAAGGTAATTTTTTTGAAAAATCCCCAGAACAGAAACTCGGCAGCAACAAATTTTCACAGAATACCATTGGCCAACAAATGAATAATCATCAAAGAATGGCATGCAAAAAGTAGCGCTAAATCAGCTAGGTGTAGCGTAGTAAGATCACCTTGAAAGCTCGGTGTAGCATAGTAAGATCACCTTGAAAGTCTTAACAGTTGTAATTCTGTGTTGTATAGGGGTTTGTTTCATAGAGTTTTAAGAACTTAACTGTTGATATATGAAAATTATACATGGTTAATATAGTAAAGGCCTTTTTGATGCAAGAGTTACAATAATCTGAACATTATTTAGTAAGCAAGATTGTGGAGCATATGACTGAGCGCTAGCACAAATCTTGTACTCCTTCTCTTGCTTCTCTGTTTTGCTTTGTTCTGAACATTCTGAATTTTTAACATTTCCATGTACGTTTCCGAACTGAACTTCTTGCAGACATTTCCATGTACGCTTCTAAACTGAACTTCTTGCAGTCTTGCAGAGAACTTCAGGGGCAGCACCCAACGCACTGCACACTGCGCACATCCAAACCTAGCACCTACGCATCATAGACGATGCAGGGGCAGCACGCGAGCCGCAACGCACGCCACGCAGCGGCAGCGGGCGCGAGCGCCGTCCTGCGGTTCAGGATCGCCTCCTCGCGTCATCTTCGACGGGGCGCCGGCGTCCTAGCGTGCAAGAGGTCGACACGGCGTGCGTATGCTAGAGCCGGGTTGGATGGGTTCCAGGCGCCGGCCGGTTGGGCGAGCTCGAGGTCGAGAACACCGGCGCCTCGGCCGCAGCGTCTACACGGCAGAAACAGTCCAATAACGTCTTCTCCCGCTGCTTCTTAGAGTCTAGAGAGCTCACCATCGGAGGCGCTGATGCGGTCCTTTGTGGCACACAGCTTCTCGGCGAGCGCGGAGTGTAGCGCGGTATTCGACGACCTGGACGTCACCGTGGCCGACGTACACGGCGAAGAACTGCGCGTGTAGTATGTTGAGCAAGATCAACAAGAGAAGGAGGTGCACGTCGTGAGAAGAGGAAGGAATACATACAGCGCGCCCCGCGACGACTGCGAGAAGCACATAAAGAGAGGACGCGTCGAACCTCGACGGGCCGCTTCCGAGCTCTCGGGTCTCGGCGGCCGATGCTAATCCGCTTGGAGGCGCATCGCGGGAAGGAGGCGCGCGTGGAGTAGGAGTGCGACGGCCCCAAACTGAGGACGGGTCGAGCCCTGTTGCCCAGTTTGGAGCTGCGTGTCGCTCTTCTCCTGGGTCGCCTCAGGGCTCAGGCACGGCCTCTGCTGCGGCGTCGCCGTCCTTGCCGACCCTTCGGACGGCCATACGATCTTCCTCCCACGCGTGATTCTCAGCGTCCTCTCCGTGAGCAGTGATACTCAGCTGCTCGCGGCCACGATCACATGGACGCCGCAGGCGACACTGCTCGACACCTCCATTGCATGGGAGCAGCGACGCTAGGTTGGACAGAGGAGCAGTATAGCGTGGCTCCATGGTGGACCTGCGTTGTCTTGCGATCACGCCCGCGCTGCCGCCATTCAGCCCGGATCCGCAGGAGGAAGACGCATACCGGCACGGCGCACACGGGCAATAACGGCCGCCCGAATCCCAGGAGGGCGACCCCGACGACGCCGTCCAGACCGATCAGGAGCAGGGGGAACCATCGCCGAGTGAAGAAATGGCAGCAGCAGTTGGAAGAGGAAGAGCGAGAACCGTGGGTGAGCAGAGACGAGAGTTCCCTTTCTTGACGAAATCACTAATCAGAAACTCCTACGAACAGGCCGCATGCGGCCATAACAGGCTTTAGCGCAGCACACACAAACTGGGCCGGAAAATTGCGCGAGGCCCGCAACGGCGCCAGCGCATTGAGCGGCACGAGGTCGGCCCGGCCGGTCGATCCAATCGGACGGTTCACGTTCGTCCCTGCCCGAGCAAAGTCGCCGTGGGATCCTCAAAAAAAAAAAAAAGAGCAAAGTCGCCGTGGTGTCGCCGTGTCGGCTGAGTTCCTTCTCCGCCGTCGCATCTGAGACTCGAGAGTGTGTGTGTGTGACCATTCGTCGGCCTCAGTCGCCGGACGACGCCTTCCTGCCTTGCTGTTCGCCTTCAACTCCCCCGAGGCGACGCCCGGGTAACCACGGCGGTGCTGCGGCCGTCCAGGCCATCCCCGGCCGCATCGCATTAGAGGAAGGAGCTGCTGCCCGCGGTCCTTCCCAATGCTAGCTCCCCACCTCTGATTGGAGACAGCTGCTGGCCTCTGGGAGGGAGTGCGCCTGCTCCTGCTGCGGCCTCACTGCTTCTCCTCCTTGCCGCCATCACCGGCGCTCGGCGTTGGTTGATGTAGCTTCCGAAGCTCCGCCGTCACCCGCATCTGGTGCTCCAGCTGGAGAGATCCCCAAGACAAGTCTTGCACGTCGATCCCGCTGCAGTGCAGCGACCGGCGAAGCAGGTGATCCTCGCCTGAGTGCGCGTCCATCCAACTCCTCCTCAGTATCCAGGAGTGTTTCTTTCCAAGCCAAATCGCCCACATTTTGTAATCGAGTCTTCTGAATTTGCAGCTGCTGCAACAGGGAAGCTCGGCTCAGCCTCAGCTCGACCAGCAACTGTGGAGCAGAAACATGGTACGCTGCTATCACTAAAACTTATTTTCTGTTGTAGGCGCAGAATCTCTCGGTCTGCTGATCTGCGATGGACTATTTAAGTGGATTACCTGATTTGTATCCAGAGAAATCACGGATGACGCTCAGCTTTCATGTTAATTTTGCTTTTAAGACAGTGCTTGTAGACCACCTGCCAGGACCTCATGAACTTTTGTCTGTGTTTTAGCGATCCATTCAAATAAGCAATGCATCCTTTTTAAAATTTTGGAGTGATTCGATTGACTGAACATTCACATCAAGATTTGAGATTCATTTTCAATCTGCAGCTCTAGACAGCATTTGGCAATAGAAAAGAGTTTGGAATCTGGTTATGGCTGATTCCTATCCAACAAGAGCCTAATTTAGCAGATCCAAAACTTGCTATTAATGGACATGTCTTCGCACTGGGAAATATAACATGACAAACATGCAATGTAAAGTAACATAACGAACAGCAGAGTGGCGATCCCTACATCTACTATTAGTGAAGTATAATTGTGTTTGAGTTTGCATCCATGCTCACAACTGCTCATCATGTTTAAAGGTGGATTACCGCCGCATGGGAATTATGGAGCAGCACTACTCGCGGAATGCAACATCAACAACATCCTTCCTGCATCAGCTGAGAGGTCTGTGGAAGAGCCCAAGGGGGACGGTACTTCGTGTAGAGGCTTTGGCACTGGCGGCTATTGCCTTCTCTTTCTTGCTTGTTGCATTGGGAGCCTGCCGCCGTTGGTCTAAGCGCTGGATCATCCAAAAAGGCTTCTTGGCTGCAAATGTGTTATCTATATCCCTTGGGACATACAGTATTGGTCTAATGCAATCCTCTTCGGTGAAGAGCGAGATGTATCCCGTATGGGCCGTGTCCTTGCTCACCCTCTTCGGCTGCGTCGACCCAGTTACTTCCTACAACGGTCTTGACTACAAGGGCCCACTCTCAAAGATGATATTTCAGCTCTGCCTATATTGTGGATATGTCCTGCTGATGAGTATCTCAACCATCTCCAGTGATGTTGGTAACATAGCCATCGGTGTGCTGTCTGCTGTCAACTTTTTCAAGGGCTTTCATAGGTCGTTGGCGCTTGTGCTGCCAAGAAGAATGCGAAAAATGATAAGGCACCTTAAATCTGATGCCGAAACAAATGCTATATCAGATCTTGATGATTATGACTATGCAATAGTATCAGACTTGGTAGTTGATTTCCCCCTAGACATGGATGACCCAAAGCAGAGCTTTTATTCAATATTAGTGCGTGATGGAGTTTTGAGGAATAATATCAGTTCGAGCTGCGAAGACATGGTTAAGCTACGGATAAATGTCGGTGACTGTCATGATGTGTGCACTGCCTTCGCTCTGTCTCATTTGTTGCAACGGCATTTCATTGGATTGAGTGACGCTTCGGAAAGGAAGAACGATATTTCATATCAGATTGCTTCAGACTTCAATCGAGCCTTTAAGGTGATTGAGGTTGAGCTGGCTTTTCTATACGATATCTTCTTCACAGGTAATGCATTCCTTCACTACTATCAAGCAAAGACTGCTAGTTTCTGGGCATTCGCTTCATTCATCGGAATATGTTTTGTTGGGGTGGCGGCTGCCATCCCTGGGACGATGACTAGCCGCCATAGTGCTTCTCTTGGTCCTGGTGCTGGCACCATCACGACAGCAGATCTCACCGTTACTCTTGTCATATTGGTGTCCCTGGCTCTGCTGCAATTGTTGCAACTAATCCGGTGCTGGACATCAAATTGGGCGAGAGTTGCATTTGCCTGTGGGCACGCCAGGAACATGCAGAAAGGAACCAGACAGCCGCTATGGTGGATGAGATTGAAAGGGTTTCTAGTCACCAGGATTAATTGGTTTGACAAATACCTGTGGCAAGATGAGCTCGGCCAGCATTCAGTAATTGAAGCGAGCAGCAGGAAAGAAGGCAAGCTGTTATTCAGCCGGAGTGGCCGTCTTTATGTGAAGTGTGCTCGCTTTCTTCGGATGGTTGGATTGCAGTACGTTGGAGAGGTGGTCTGGGAACTGGTGGGCAGCGACAGTAGCACAGGGCCTGCTGTTAGGTTGCACCCCGATGTGAAGGGCTCCATTGCCGAGCTCCTTGGTCGGGTTCATAATGATACAATAGGGGAGAGTTGGTCGTCCTTGTTTGTTGCTAATGGAGTAGATGAATGGCACCTTCCCCATTGGCATTTCGACAATCCTGCAGGTGCAGAACAGCTCTCATATTGCTGTTTGTACACACGTTCTGTTATGATGTGGCATGTTGCGACATGCTACTGCGAACTAGCAGAGCAGGCGAAGCAGAAGGAGCACACAGGAGCAGAAGAAAAGAGTCGGCGCGTGGCCCTGGCTCTGTCCAAGTATTGCGCCCACTTGCTGGTGTCAGCGCCAGAGTTGCTACCTGGCACGCTTCAGAAAAGGAAAGAAACGTATGATGGTGTTGAGTCGGAAGCAAGGAAAGTTCTTCAAGGGGCCAAAGACAAGCTTGAGGCAATGCAAAGCGAACCCCATATCGATCTCGACAGCCCTAGCAGCATCTTCTGGGACGGTGTGCGTCTTGCAAAGCAACTTTTTTGTGGGGACATTGGGGATCCCTGGAAGCTGCTGGAAGTTTTCTGGGTCCAGGCGTTGCTCTACGCCGCGCCGTATGGCGACGTGGAGGTGCATATGCAGCATCTCTCGCAGGGTGGCGAGCTCATCACCCATCTCTGGGCATTGTTGTACCACGCCCACATCTACGGCTGGAAAACTGTAGAGAGATGGGGAGGGAAGCCGATGAAGTTGGAGACCGAGGAGGTAGAAGAGAATCCCAAGGATGGTGGACAGTTCAAGGGTGACCTTAACACCTGTTCAAAAGCAGATGATAATCCGAGGGGTTCAATTCCTCTTCAAAGTGCCACCGGCATAGAAGAGAACTCCATGGACATGGATTCCGAGGTTGAGATCGAGGATGACATCAGTTCCTGTTCAAAAGATGATAATCCGAATAGGATTTCAGTTCCTGTGCAAGCTGACATCCGATGGATGTAGCCATGTATGACAGAGACAGACTGAGGAGGACTTTAGTTCCTGTTTACAGCGGCTCAGTCTGGTCACCTGAGACCTTTTCAGTCTTCTAAGTAATGTTTTCTCTCAGATTTTAAGGTACTCGCAAATGAATATGGACCATCCATCGGAGGTAATAGCTCACCAATATAATTAATGTATTTAAGTGATTTTTAATTTGAAAAGTTAGGAGGATGCTTAAGATTAAGGGTCTTAAGCGTTTCTACACCTGCTTTGAAGCAAAATGGTGATTTTACCCTCGGTTTTTTTCAACTTTGCGATTTTACCCCTACAATTTCAAAACGAAAGCAGACTTTACCCCTGCTCTGTGAAGTCCCTCTAGCGGTGTTAACTTTTGGACGAAATGACAACTTTGCCCATACGTTTTTACCCTTGTTTTATTTTGATATTTGTGTTTTTATCCCTATCTCTAGACAAAGGACAGCTGATGGGGAAGGACTTGCTGCCGCCAGGCCGGGAGTGGACGTCGTCGCCGCTGTTCGGAGGAAGAAGGGCTCGCCGCCGTCGTCGGGGAAGGAGCTGTCGTGGAAGGTGTGGCTAGGAGCGCCTAGGGCGAGCCACACCACTGCTGGGGGCACCATCCGTGCGAGGTGAGGTCGCATGGGGAAGGTTGCGTTGCCGCCGCAAGGACCATCACCGCCTCCTAGGGCCATCGACGCCATCACCGGAGGGAGGGATAGGGAGGGCGGCAGCGCGGCGGCGGAATCTTTGACCAGACGGAGGGGCGCCACCGCCTCTGGAGTTAAAGGCCCGTCGTCACCGCGAATGCAAGGAGCCCTCATCGGCGTCGTCGGTGGTGAGGAGGTCGCGGG